GTGGAGAGATAGCCCCATTGATCAGCAAACCGGCCAAGGTGTTCTAACAAGGCTCAGTCTTTTGCTGGGGCCTGTTGCTCATTTTGTACGTGGACTCCAGACTTTCATTCAACACATGTAAAGGCTTCGCTTTAAATATGTAGAGCAGTGGTTCTCAAATGGGGTTCTGCAAAGCCCAGCCTTATCAGTCAAGCCCGGCAATAAAAGTTGTCTTTTCTCAGATTGAGAAGAAACGTTCCAATTTTCGGGTGAGCTTTTTTTCGTGTATATGTCAGTAAGAGAAATATACTTCAGACTAGCCCTTAGTTATATCCATTTATTAAATCACTACCATAATCTTTCCCTCCCCCCCACCACGATCGGGGTCCTCCATCATCTCTGTGATCCACATGGAGTCTGTAAACATCATTGGTTGAGAACCACTTATGTAGAGAGAAGGACCTGGCAGAGGAAACATTTCTCATGGAGCATCGACTTTCACGTTTAGTTGGAGCTCAATTGTTTGACTAGTGCTCAAAACTGCAAAAATACCTTCAGCAAACGACAGGTTGACCAAGTACAGGGATTTGCTAAAATCTGTAAGCCCCTAAAGCAACTGAAGCATGTGCAATCTTGTGTGCATGAGTTCATGCATACAAGGAGAAATGTATTATGAGCAAATGGCTATAAAGTTGACACGCCAGTAGAGTTGTGTGATCCGATCTGGACGATGGTCAGGATCGATTATGCCCAGTTTGCAAAGCTTACATTTCAGTTATGGTGAAAAAGAGAATGCTCACGTGCATGTCAAGTATCCAATGTTAGCATCCTTCTGTGTGCTTGTCAGCTTGAGCAGTACCAGCTGCTCACAAAGGAATGTGTTAAGGGGTGATGTGGGGCTTTAGAGTAATATTTTTATTTATAAAGGAATACTTATCATATTATACACTGGTATAACACATCTCACACCTATTCCAAATATGCAATCAGATATTGAATATCTTTACTAGAACCAGAGTTATGGGAGATTGGCCTAATTTGATTAGGTCATTTGTTACGGGTCGTTAGAGAAAAAGTATTCGTAAATTATCAAAATTTTTAATGCAACTGTATTCACAAAGGTGTAATTTGTGCGGTGATGCTATTTTAGATCTTAACTGAGAGGGTTATGTCACTAAAAAAACAATTGCAATTAGAGTGTAAAAGAGATGCTTTCTCATTATTTAAGAAAGTAATTAATTGGATAGAACTCTTAAGCTGGAAGACTATAAAAATAGCATCACCGCACAGCTCCTTTCTTTGCGATTAAAATGGCACCAAACGTGTTAATATTGTCCAAGACAAACTTCAGAAAACGCCTGTAAGGCATCGGTACTTGTGAAAAAAGTGTGAAGAGAGAAAAAAGCCCTTGAAGTATGTGTATTCCTACTGAATGTTCATAGAAAATTAAGACTTTATATTTTTCTTTCATACTTAAAAATTAGATAGAGCAATAATGTTTTGCACAGAGCTGGGTGGGTATATCTAAATTCCAGAAAAGCCATTTTCTCAAAAGTGAATTTTCTCCTACTTTTTACCATTTAAAGACCAGCCTCCCCCCTTAACTCCTTTATTTAACAGCTGTTTATTGTAGCAGAATGATTGATATGCAATTACAGGACTTGTTACAGCCTTGCTCGGCCTTGGCGCGGTCGTCAAGTTCCCCCCGCAGAAACTGTGCGGGGTGACAGGGTTTCTCCTGGTTGGCACTCTGCTGGGCATATGGCAACACCGGACCATGCATAACAGAAAATATATCTGTGAACAAGTAGCACTGCATACCTGCCAAATCTCCAGAACTGTTTGGAAACCTCCTGAATTCCGGTCATGTCTTCTGTTTGTACAGACATGACTTGTGTCTCTCGAAAAATAGCCCCCAGCATTGTCCGACATTATCTTTATTAAAGTTCACAAGACGCCGTCTATCCACATGTATTTGAAGAAATTCTTACAAGCGCTTGTAAGGTTCTACATGATTGGGTTTTTGTGTTTGGTCTCATCAAGAAAAGGGGACAAGTTTGGATTTCATGTGACTCGCGCCTTTGACGTCAGCTTATCCCACAGTGGCAAGGCTGACATCAAAGTTCCCATCGCTTCTCAGATGCCCGTCAGAAACAACTGTTATCATCAGAGAATTGGCTGCGGATGCAAATGTCTCGATGCTGGAGTTCTTTGGACGCCGCACTTCCATAATTGCGGCAAAGAAAATAATGTGTTTGTTCATTAATACTTCAATAATGTCACGAAGAACAGGTGATAAGGTGGGGTAAGGCTGAGGAAACTAAACGTTCACTGAAGCAGACTTGGTCCTAAGAACAAACTTCAATAAATGGCTTTGTGGGCATCAGCGTTGGCACGACATCGGCATAGAATGCCATCTCGAGACTAACCAGATGCCGCAAGCTACGGCTTCTTTTGTACCGATTTTTCTTGTCGAGGACATCCTTGAGAAGAACACGCAATAGTTCCGAGGTTGAATTGGAGCATTTCAAAAGAGTAACAAGAGGCAGAATGAAAAATCATGAGCCATTCCACTCTGTGGAGGTGGATGACCAGCAAAGCTGTTTAACACATGACACAGACCTGCCCCGCAAACCTGGAGGAAACTAGACTCGTGTGACGGGACCACCACCTAGCGGAAAGTAGACACGCGCTATGGGGACCAACACCCCGAGAGGGCGGAAGGGAAGAAAACTAGGCACGCAAGTGCTTGGAACGACGCCGAAAAGAGGGCGGTGCGAGCGTAGACATGGCCGACATGGGTTGCACGGCGGCAAATTGAGAAACCTTTATTATCTACCTGAGCGTCTACTGATATTAAATATGGTGCCTATTGATAACTACCTAATCTACTGAATAGACCTATTGCTAAATTACCCAAGCGTCAAGGAGAATGCAGGGAATGGTGTTCCACGCGCCGCACATGCCAATGTCTGCAGCAGTAACTGTTCTAAAGCAAAAGCCTAAAACAAAAGGCATCTTGCATGCACGTTCGTCAATGCTTTATTTTGGTTATTTACTTTAAATATTTTATACGGGGAAGTGCAAAGCGGTGCGAGTATAGAGGTCTTGGTCATGCACACGCAATAATCCACAGAAGCCAAGCCATAAACAGCTTCGCTGTAAAAATCCCCTTGTGTCCGCATGGAATCGGAGTGTGCTGCTGATGGGGTCATGCACACGACAATATTGATACAAGTACTATATACTAAGTATTGTTTTCCTCTGCAAGTTGTGGGTTTGTGGCATCATTCTGCGAGTTCACCCACTCTGGTTGATACACTGGAAACACGTAGGGGCATCGTCTTTTAAAATTAAGGCCACTAGCGTGGGATTCAATTCTGCTGTCTACGTGTCTGCAGAATGAGCCATGCTAAATTGGTCGTAGCGGCACTTTTGTGATGAAGGAGCATCGCATGAGTACGGCTTCAGCTTTCGACGGGAAACTTTTTCCCCACTGATTAAATGCGGGCCCTAATCGAACGCTGATGCAGCACTCGTTTCCAATTTGTCCAATCTCTGATAGGTGACATAAAAAATCTGGCACTATGTTCTTGTTATGTCGGGGTGTTCTTAAGTGAGCAGGCTCGCACATATGATGTTAAGAGTGTGTAGGAGGAAAGGGAGAGAAGAAGCATGTGCCTCAAGGGAAACAGGGAGACACGAAGTGGCAAGAGACACAAAGATTCGTGTCCATCCTTCCTAGAACAGTAGCTTTTACAGGGCCTTCTTCCAGACCTGCTACGCATGACAATGTTCACGTCGTCGAGGCACAAAACGTGCACCCTATTGGTTTGTGCAACCTCTCCGCAAAGCAACGCGCAACACATTCTGTGTTACCCCTGTTTTTGCCACCATACGGCAGGAAAGGGTCAAACATTAATTTGGACTTTTGTTCTGTTTAACACTACATTGTTTATAAATCATGATTAAAAAAAAATGTGTTGATACCAAACTCCTAAGGATTAATTTGAGAAAGTTTTGTTCCCAATGTAGAACAATATAAGAAAAAATCATTGACTTTTGGCATACTAACTGTCCTGCACATCTGTCTTCGGAGTAGTGAGATGTGCCTTTTCGAAGGACCCATTTTAGAGCGATTCCTGGTATCCATAAGGCCCTATATTAAAGGGCCACTAAGCTGCTTTCTGCAATAGTAGTCCATCTACATTCATAACTCAATATATGTGGTCTATGCATTGTACAAAACTAAACATTACATTCATGCTTGGCCAATGTTTGTATTAAAATTGGTATTCGCGGCGAGAAGTTTGGGTATCACTGCCTGAGGGAATTTTTTCATAACCAAGAGTGAGAGTACTTCAACTTCCTCTGCAGGTGCAAGCACGTGCTAGCTAACGCAAGCACACGGAATAAGTCTTTCGCTTAATTTTCAGATGTTGTCCACCATTATTCATTTAAAATTCCCAAACACATTATCAAAAATCTTTGCCACAAAGGTTTCAGTAATTTTATTGAAAGCACCGGTGTGCAGTTTCCACCTGGAGGCTGAGTATTTGTCTCAAATTTTTTTTTATTTGGACTTTTGCCAAGCTTTATGCACTATGAAAATCAAAACATAACTGCATGCGTATGCACATGCACTACCCAGAGTTAGAAAAACAGACGTGCCCAAAGCGAGCTTCTCGCGCGCGAATAAAAAAAATCTACACTGGATGGCGGCATTGAACAAGGAAGGGCAGAGCCCTGCCCTGTCTTGTGTTGGTGCCCTCTGGTGTCAGCGATAGTTCCAAGGTAATCAATCTTTTGATACTGAATTTAATAGAAAAATCAGCCATGCATGAATGGAATGTATGGTTTTTTAGAATGCTTAGAGCTCATAGATTGAGTTATGACCACAAATAGACTATCACAGAAAAGGGTTTAGTTCCCTTTTAAGCTCGCAGATATAAAGCAATTCATAATATGATTGCACGGCCTTGCAATGCTGGACATAAACGGCGGGCCTTTGTTTGTTGCAGCGCCTCCAACTACTCCAACCTGCCCGGAGAGGCGGCGCTGGGGAATCTGCTAGGCCTGTGCCTGCTCTCCTTCGCCGTTCTGGTCGTCTTCCTGGCCACCAGGACGTCCTACCGCAGGACACCGCTCCCAGAGGAGGCCTCCCTGCCCCTCCAGCCTCACAGCCCTATGGAGTGAGCGCGGACCCGTCCCTGCTCACACCTCGTGGGGGTCCAAGTAATGTCGGCATTGCGGCCGTTCAATGGTCAGAAGTTGCAACCGAGGGTTGCAATGCGAGTTCTGTAGGAGGCGTTGTTGTTGCTGTTGCCATTGTTGTTGTTGCGTTATTCGAGGTGTCGCGTTCCCAGTATCCTGTTGTCTCTGCTCCACTCCATTCAGACGTCTGCCGAACTGGAATGTGCGCACCTAGTTGATCGAGGCAATCCCGATGCGTGGCCCCGTGGAACCGCCTCTTAGAATTATGGGCTTGCATGTTTCATTGAGGGACAAGGGTGGCAGGAGTATGGATCCAGTTTGTCGTCGTTGGATAAGCACTGAACATTGGATAAGCGCTACATTTCTATTACGAACTGTTGCTGTCTTATGGAACTGTCCGTTTGCTGCTCCCTCCACTCCCTCTTGTCGTCGTCTCAGATCTCACCTGCTCTCCACTGTGCATGGAACGCTTGCACCGTGGAATTTTCTTGCACAAAGCTCAGTTTGAGTTGACTTCCAAACACGTTGACGCTTGTTACAAATTTGAGAAGAGCTGGCTCAAGAAAGGATGGCAAGGCGGAAACGGTTCGGACGGAGAACCGTTCCCGCTTCTTCAGCGGGAACGGTTCTTTGTCCGGTGTTTATTTATAGGGCGAACCCTTAGTGGTTGTCGACTGTTCAGGCATTGTTTACGAAGCCTTTTTGCTGGTAGCATGACAGATTAAATGTCCTTTCCAGCATTGGCAGGTGGGTACAAAAGGCCATACGTGTGAAGTGAGTTGCATATATCCTCCTTGTAACTCTTCTTGGGAAAATGTGCTGTTTAAGAAGATGTATATATTATGCTTTGATTAGCCGTGCTCTTCCCCCAGCTACCTCGGTGACTCCAAGGCAAAGCACCGGCGTATGAACCCCCCATTTGGTGGGTTCATATCCTGACTGGGGTGCCTGCTACATGATTGAGGCTTGTACCAGAGATTTAGGCACTATGTACTATATTTTTTCTTTAATAGGGATCCAAAACGATCTCTTTTCTAACTTTGGACTCCAGCTTTGATGTCGTGCCAAACTGAAGGTTGGTGTCCATGTGCATAACAGAGCGGGGGAACCGATGCCGTGTTCCAGCAATTGCTCGGCGTGGCAGCCCTTTTAGAGTGATATTTATTATGCTGATTGTCGGTGTTTGTTAACAAAGCTTTTTACGTCGTGCAACCATCCTGCAGTTCAGCAGGAAGCAATGGCATATCACTACAGCTTTGCAGTCACGTCTCTTACGTGTCCAGATGGCATTAAAAACTTCTCTTCCTTTTTTTTTTTTTTAGTAATGTGCAATGGGAGTTGTTTCCAACATTTTATCAGGCATGTCGTAAGGCGAGTTTTTGAGTTAATAAGGTAGGTACTACCAGGAATGAGCCTGACATGTCCAGAAACATTACTCTGCTTTTAGATGTTCGGATATTTGCTAGAGTTTTAGTTTTTGGAACATTCTAACAGGCCTTCTCCTCACGAGTATATGACCAGAAGGACTTCCCTATGTCGGTACTTCTTGCCCCCCATGCACCCATAGATTTCTGAACAGAGCAGAAGCGAGCTTGGCTCGTCGCAACACTGACAGTGTCGAACAAGGACTGTAATTTGATGGCACAATATTCAAACTCCGATTTCGTGAGGTTATGGTTGGTTAACACATTTAGTACCTTCGTGTAGTCAGGTACGGAGAACTTTTCCAGCAGTCCTAATTAGGGTTCCATGTTTTTGGCATTTAAACCGATAAATCATGAAACGTAACCCCCCAAGTTAGCTTCATCTAAATCGGGGTGAACCGAGCAACCCCAAAAGCCAAAGCTGTACGGAAAGAAATCTTTTTCTGTGGCTATCTTTTCCTGTGTTGACTTGAAACAACGCCCACACTAAACTCTCCATGGGGCTGCTTCGTTTTTTGGGACCCACACCTCTTGTTTTGTTTCTTTCTCTGTTTGAAGAAATAGGAACCCCAAGAATGTGGAACCCTCGTCATAATGGCTTCTTCAGTTGATGCAACAGTTTTAGTTATCCAGCTGATTTCTGTAGCCGGACTCTTTTCCATGCTTTCCTCTTCTATGCATTTGTTAGTCTTGGTATTAATTTAGCAATGTTGCCCTTTAATGCTTTCTGAGAAGTGTATGCTGTGCTCGGAGTTCTTCTTAAAAATGTTTAGGATTTGGGCACTGCAAATTTGCAGAAAAGGGGGAATTTCTTTTCGAATCGGCATGTTGCCTGAAGCACTTTTTTGTGTGCACCGTGCTCACCCAGCGGTGATGCTGATTGCAGGGTTTGTTGCTTCTGCACGAGTATGTGGGGGGCAATGACCCTGGCACAATGTGCGTTTGTAAAATCAACATCTTGCCCACTTACGACAAATTATAGAAATGAGTGGAACTTCGTAGAGACGAATGATCAGTTGGACTGGTGGGTGAGAAAACCTCTGCCACCCACTGTAGGGTGATCCGTGATTGTGTTTCAGCCATATTCCCTGTGATGATGGAGGCTTCTTACCTCAATGTAGATTTATTGTGCTTCTACCTGCCTCGCTTGTTTACATCATGGCCTCTCGATCTGGTTGCATTGAGCACCCAAATTTGTTTGATCCTCTCTTCTTTTTCATTTAAAGGGACACCGACAGGGTATTTATGTTTGCCAAGGTCTTTATTTGTACATGACACATGAGAGTCTAACTACACAGAACTTGCGGCTCAAAATTTGTTTTCTTTCCGCCTGAAAACCGCCGATTGAGGACTGGCTGGCTCGAGTCGCGCTCACTTTCTTCTCCGTGGTCACGTGCTGTTTTCTATGGTTTAGACCAGTGGTTCTCAACCATTGATGTTTTGCGGACCCCCTGTGGATCGGCAAAGATGTTGGAGGACCCCGTTTGTGGTGTGGGAAAGACGAAATGTATAGGTTAATTATGATATGATTTAATAAATGGATATAACTAAGGGCTAGTGTGAAGTGGACATCTCTTATTGACATGCACGTGAGAAAACTCGCCGAAAAATCGGAAAGCTTCTTTTCATTCTGAAAAAAATACATTTTATTGCCGGGCTCCACTGATGCGGCAGGGTTTCGCGGACCCCTAAAATTCCTTCGCGAACCCCAAAAGGTCCGCGGACCCCCATTTGAGAACCACTGGTTTAGACACAACCGCCAAAGATAATCAAGGTCGTGAGTCATCGAAGGCACACATTCAATACTAAAAATGGACAAAAAATATGATACCCATTTTTTTTGTGGCTTCTAAAAAACTGCAATTACGTTGGTTAAAAAGAAAAAGTTTCACAGCCATGTGACTTTTGGTATCTTTCTTCTCTATACTTCTTCTTCCTCCCCAGTCTATTTTCGGTTTTGAGCAGTTGCGTTTTTTGACTTCATTAAAAATATACGTGACTCTGTAGCAAAATGTTGACTGTGTACCGTATTTTCCGGGCTATATTCTGCGGACCATACATGTTTAAAAGTTAAAATTTTAGGCTGTGCGGAATATCTATGCGTGCAAACTATACAAAAATTTTGTTTTTCAATATCGTTGATTATGACGAGACGAGACGGATTTTGTGAATGAAAGAGTATGTTAATGATATTTATGTATCATACAAGCTTCTTTGTGAGCTAAGAAAGCTGACGTTTGTCAAGGTGTGCCGTCTATGAGAAGATTTTCGTGTCGACTAAGCACCAGGTGCGGACTATGTACCGAGTGCAGACTGTGCACCGGGTGGCAGACTATCTAAGTAAAAACTTTTATTTTTGACCCCAAATTTGCACCTGCGGACTATACACCGGGTGCGAACTATAGTCCGGAAAATGCGGTACTCTTCTGACACCATAATGGATCGCCTGGCAAAAAAAAAATTAAAAGAACAGTTTTTGGGGTGTCAGCGTCCCTTTAAAGCAAGGTTGAAGCTTTGTTGAGCCACGCATAGATGCACGACATGATCAAGTAGCTTTCCCTCGAGGTACTGAAAAATTTTAACTTCTTTCTAAACTAGGCGTTTTTCCTTGCTTCTTGGGGAGCTCAGGATACAGCCCAATCTTTTATAGAACTTTAAGACAGTATTTTACCGAATAGAGCATGCGGCCACAAGCGGCAACATGCACCAACCACTAAAACTGAAAAACATCTAGTGATAACTGGGTTTGACAATGCAGTTGAACTCAAAGTCGGAATGGACCATTAAAAAAATCCTGAAGGCTGCGTGCAAAGTGCGCAATGAATTATGGGAACGTCCTGTGCGCTTCCCTGAGCTTCTGCAGCATCTAAAACGTAACACTGAAGAGAGTCAAAGGGAGGGGGTAACATGCTTGCTCATCTGCCTTCACCTGCCTGCCTGCATTGCCTCCGTCATCTGTTATAGTCAGTTCTATGCAACCATTTTCCAGAATCCCTTTTGCTGCTGTGGAGGGTACTGCGTGTTTTGGAAAGGGTCTGTTGCAACTTCCTTTCTTTCTACTTTCTCGTGCTCTTTGATCGTTAACCCCGTGGCTACTAATCGCGAATGTCACTCGTGCCGTCCATAACGGACCACAGAACCCGACCACAAGGTTTTGGTTTCGGAGCTTTACTTGCGCGCTCTACGGCATATGGCAGTGCTACCACTATTGCTCCGCCATCTTCAGGGCATTGTGTTGTTCGTTTAGAATTTTCACTAAAATAAACCTTTATTGTCCCCCCTCCCCCCCCCCCCAAAAAAAAGAATTGACTTCTTCAAGTACAGGGATAGGTAACATGGCCACTCTGCCCCAATGCAGAGGTCCATTTTAACTGATATAGAAATGCAGAAACTTTTACTTCAAAGTGATAGTGCTCTACCATTTCCGATGATGAGTGGTATGGTACCACTTGTCTGATGACTTGCAAATGTTTCTCAAAGTTAACAATTTGTATGAGAGTTAGAGGAAACATTCTCTTGGCCTCCAGACGTTGTTTGTTTCTCCTGACCTTCCTCAGTGTATCACACAGTACTATAGAGTGAAGAAACACTGAGTGGTCACATCAGATAACCAGGAATTAATAGCAAGAGCAACGAACAACATCTAGAGGTCAAATAAAGGCTTCTTTTAATTTTTGTATATATTTTTTTTTATTTTAACAGAAAATTTTGTGCTATGTATTTTTTTTGTACTTGTATGCATTTTTTTGTAGGCAGTGAGTTAAGGAAGCTAAAACAGGGGCTTAAAAACAAAGTTAAAAAAAAAACACGAGTTGGAGTGAATTTTGGAGTACTTTTATCCCGTGAATCTGAATATCACATTTGTTTCCCCCGAAGATGTCACTAAACACGGGAAAACACGAAAACCCTTCGACCAGTTGTTACATCATACACAGGTCTGTTGGCCACCAAGCGCGTGTTACTCGTGTGGGCAGTGTGTGCCATTGCAAGCTTGCCAGATGTATTCCCTCACACTGACACCAGACATGACGTCTTTTTCTGACCTTTTTGAAGATAGCAAGATGGCACGTACATAGCTTTGATAGGCACTGAAGATGCGAGGGAGCAGAGATCCGGAAAATTCTGACATGATGTCACGCTCCGGGAAGGAGGGGCTTCAACAATAGTTCAAATATTATTTCCTGCAGCCTCCTTGCACCAAATTGAAAAATAATCTCGATATTCGTGATCCTGGAGGCCAAATGAAGACTATTTAAGTGTTTTTTCTCAAATACAGAAGTGCTTCAATTTCTCTTTGTAAGCAAAATTTCTCTCCTGCTGTGTGATATTGTGCATAAAGATTTCTCTCCCAGAAATTAAAAAAAAAAAAAAAAAGAAGTGGTTTTAGCGGTGAGGTTACCCTAGTACGACTGACATTTTCCAAGGGGTGAGGCGACTTCGTCAGTTTTATCTGTGATTCCTCTGCCATAAAATTTAAAGTTTAGGAGCCACTTCAGTCTCTCTTCAAAAAAGCTTCTAAGCTTCTGATTTTGATAATTGCAAAAAAGCTAAGATTGGGAGGTCGTGCCTCGGCCGTGTCTAGGTTATGTAGGGGTTCCTCGAGATCAGATATTTTTGGAAATCATTTGGTTGTCAATTTAATTAAAATGGTAATTTATGTAGGAAGCTAGAAAACTGCTTTCACCAGTCCAAGTTCAAACAAGAAGCAAATGGCTCTTACTTCCTTGCTTTCAATCGGAAGGCAGTTTTGGCATTGTGCTGTGTGCCCCACGACAGTTTTTACTTTATTGGACTGAGCGTTAGAGTAAAGACTTGAATGAAAGTATGCCCTTGCACTGAAAGTACACTATACTTGTGTGCATATTTATACTAGAATTTATAAGTGGAAGTTTCTGAATGGATTTGAATGTTGGATGACTAGGCAGGGGCATTTTTAGTAGTTTAGTAATGTTCTATTGTTTGCTTGTGAGAGACTAACCATGAAACATTGGGTGATTGGTGTTTTGTGATTATTGTCAAAGTAATGAAATTAGCGAGATTTTTTTTTTATCTAGTGTTTATAATGCACCTTTAGTGTTTTCTGCAGTCTGTGCAGAGATCACTTTGGGCCAAGTTTTCTCTTTTTAGAAAGTGTAGGCTGACAATATCTGTCCCACGGCAACTAAGTTACAGGGAATGCTTCGCGATGGGAATGGATCTGTCATCGTCCTTGCCACAGCTGCTTCGACCTTCAACATTGTTTTCAGTGCTGCTCAGTTCATATCTCTTGCCCAGTGAAGCTTCTGTGGCATCAGCAACGGTTTGATGAGTTCTAGTCAGACAAAGCCTTTGAACTTTGTGCAGATTGTGTTTTTTTCAGGAAGTTTAAGATCCAATATGATATGCTATTTGATGGGATGTGGAGCCTTCCCTGTCACCCTATTGCATATTGCTCTACATTGTAATCTAAGCATTGCCAGACAGATGTAGCACACCTGTTATATATCGACACCCATTGATGCAAAGTTTTCTGACACGACAAGGTTAAATTGTAATTTACTTTACAGTCTATGTTACACAAGGTGTCCAAGCAACATGTTATTAAAGCTTACAGAGGGGCCTGCTGGATATGAGTAACAGCATCAAGCAGGCCTTTTCTGCACTTGATTATTTCACCTGTCAAAAAGAGGATCCCCAGAAGTGCATTAGAGTTGTTGATAACATTCTGCTTATGTATTTCGCTGTTTTAAGCTGTCTTGAGGTATCCTCTTCCCTTTCAGGAGTCCTATTAGCTGGCTTCTCCTATCGTTTAGTTGACAACTTTTTTCTGAGGATTACATATCTCACGAGACCCTGATATGTTACAAACATATGTCAATTGGAAACCCTGCATAAAATTTAAAATTTGAATTAATTTTGTTTACCCCAGCACAGTCTGCAATGATGTTTGTGACACTTCTACCGTAATGTCTGGTGTGTATGGCATGCGTATCGGGGCTGTGTCGTATCTGATGCCTCTGTTGTGTGTATCACCCTTTATATATATATGCAAGAAGTGACATTTACAATGTTGATGTTAAAGTTTTAAAATTTTGCCAGCACATCTTTAATTCAGCCTGAAATGATGTATAGACGTGTACACTGAATAAATGTATTGCTGTTGACCGCCTACTTTTTTGGTCATGGCAGTTTCTTCTTTTTGTGAGCTGGTTGTGTGGGGTTCGCTTTTGGATCCAGATTGTGGCGAGTGTGTGGTTTTGTTCCTTACAACTAAGCTTCTAAGACGTCTTGAAACTTCATCTCACAGTTGTGTTGCCTAGCGGTATCATGGGTCTGAATTCGGTCCCAGTTGTGGGATCATTTGTCGAAAGGCATTTCACGGTATGACAGCTCGTCGAAGTGTGTTCGTTAGGCCGGGTGGAAGAGTTTTGGTGTATCTTTAGACTGCTCTCAGCTCGTGAAGCACACTCGAGGAATGTATTTGACATGTTCAGATACCACTGCAGTCATGCGGGTCAACTACCCAGAACGAGAAGGGCGGGGCGTCTCCTTCCGATGCCTGGCTTCCAGAGTGTGCCTTCCGCCATGCTTTGGCCGCGTGTGCACGCTCGAAGATCTCGAGACGCCGAAACGTTATCGAGGGTAGGAAGCGATCGCGCTGGAAGCGGGGCACCTTCCTGGCGTTCTCATTCTATCTGCGACTATAAACATTCGTAATTTCTATACAACGAAGGTGGCTTTTTGTACTGCTGCAAAATACTGAGCGACTTCCCACGCGAAATTTTGAAATAATTGAATGACTGGGTGATGGGTGCTTGTTAGGTTGAAGACCAAGAATGTAAAATGAGCGCATGATAGGGTGGGCTTCACTGTTTCGCACTGGGGTGCTTGGAAAAGAGGCTGACGAGGAGGAGCGTTTTGGTTGTAAGATAGGGGTCCGTGTTTTCGTGGTGTGTTTCTCTTCAAATTATGGGCGGTTTTTTCGGGGTTTATTATAGTTTTCGGAATCGGTGTTAGTTTTCAATGCCAGGCAAGATACTGGGGTTCGTCGGGGCTAATGTTATAGAACAGCTGCATATTTATAGATGCGTGACTCCAAATGACCCCCCCCCCCCCCTCCCCCCCTTCTCGGTATGCTCTTCCGGGGTCTATGGACCTCACGCCCGAGATCCCAATATTTCAAAAACGTCATCTTGGTACCGCGAACAGAAGGAGACGGCGAGGGACGGAGTTCCCAAAGAGAGACAAACATCAAGGACAGTTTGTAAGTGTTTTGTTCAGATGCACAACGAACAAACAATGCTTCACATATTTTTGTTTCCCCGAAACGGATCTTTTTGTTTAAGGGTAGGTCCAATTAATTCGTAAATATTCGGGTTTTCCATACATAAAAAATAAGAAAATAAAAAAAACTGACGGTTTGTTATCGGGGTTTGTCGTTATTAGGGAGTTTTCGTAGATCGTTTTCGCCGACCCGCAACTCTCTCCGCAACCCGCCACGATACCCGGAACTCTACAGCCAAGGCCATCGGCGCGCAGGCCAAGTAGCGACTTCTTTCTTCCTTGCGGAATGCTTAGAGGAGGGGGAAGCGCGGTCTGGCGAAAACTCCCTATTTACCGAAAACGCGGAACCCTATGGTTGTAATCCAAGCGGGCTCGGAAGTCTGGGGTCGGCGCTTAATTTGTCCTTTGCTTCGTTCTCGGACATTCTAAAAGTCGCGGATTCGCGCTTATTATGACATAAGCGCATGTTCAATATATTAGGGTGATAAACTTGATGGGTGTAGAAAACAGTCCTCAAAGGTTGTATTTGACACCCTTTGACCGGTGTAACTGTCAAAAACTTCGTTAGCAATTTTTACGCTTGGAAGTAAGCGAATGACCATAAAAGACCATGTTTGTGAACGTGCGGTACCGTGTAAGGTTGCCGAACAGGTGATGTCCCCCCCCCCCCCCCCCCTCCTCCTGCCGGTAAACAAAAACCGGTCCTTATCGCACCTAAACTCCACGAAATTCGGAAAAGTCCTGCTTAACCCCGGCCTCACACTTGAGAATGTGAACATGATTCTTGACGGACATAAAGAGCAAACTAAAGTGTTAAACGACATCAAGCGTGACCAACGTTGTCTACAAAAACGTGTAAAAATTTTGAAACTCGAGTCGGAGATTTTGAGTCTTTAACAAAACGTCGCAAATGCAGAACTGCGGATCCCACACCTTGAATCACTACCACGGCGTAACTGAAACCCGCACTACTGTCACATGCCTCACACTATCACTATCACAGATGTGTATGGTTTGAGCACACTAGGTGTGCTCAAATCAACAAATTTCAGCTGCGTTTGATATTTTGTTGTCTTCGTCCGTTTCTTTTTTTTGCTGTTCCCCATTTGAGGGTCTACAAAATGTCGATTCATAGCCAACTCGCCTGCACTCTCTCGCTGCTTACAAATCTTACAAGAAGAGCCGTTCACCCTGGGCCAAAACGTAAAATTTTAATAGCTTACGAATAGATACTAGAAATAAATGCGTACCTCTTTGATGTGTCAGTTGTGTAACGGGTATTTATGTGCTATTTTTCATAATCTCAATGAGAAATAACTTGCAGTCATAAAACAGACATACGTTCCTGTGGTGTTAATATATTAAATTCAAACAGTTTTATATAAAAAAAATAATTTGCCCTATTTGTCAGTGGTGTAACGGTCATTCTTATAACGGTCGTAAAAAAGTCAGCCGCGCAAGGATTAGTTGTGTCGTGAGTAAATCACAGCACAGGTATGTTATTGCCATACATGGGTAAATTACTTTCAAAATGTAATTTAATTACAAATACAATTACTTTGCTTCAAAAGTAGTTTAACTACAATTACAATTACTACTACGAGAAAAGTAATTGATTACAATTACAAATTACTAAAAAAAGTAATGCAATTACTTTACAATTACTTATTTCTGAGGTCGACCCGACTTGGGCCGTATAACTTTAAACGAATTCTATAGAATGCAACATATTTGTTCATTCCTTACTCCAATGTTCATGTACTGTACTTTATTTTTATGAATTTTGTTAAATTCGTGATGGCCGTATGGGGCAATAAAGCATTACATTCTTATATTTTCAATAAATAATAATAAATTAGTTCATACGCTAGAAGACGATAGATCGATAAAGAAAAATTGGGTTGACAGACTTTTGTTAGCCAGGTAAATAAAAATGTGACAGTCATATAGGAATATTTTACAAGTGTTAATATAAAAGTAAAAACCACACGCGCTAATATGACCACATTCACATACAAACATCATGGTATTGTAAATTATTTACATTGAGTTAAAATTATAATGGCTCAGAACTATGCAAGCACCGAATCGGGGCTTCCGAATCGTTGGTGACAATATTCCCAGGTGCGAGGTCAGTCTCCAAAGTGCTTATACAAATATCTGAAGTAAAACCACCAGGAAATAAACTTGAAAATAATACAGAAATATGCATATGCGACAGTGCTGGCAGAGGGACGTAAAAAAAACTGTCAAAAAAGAAAGAAAAATACTTTAATAGACAATTAAAATTCCCAACCTCGGCTGAAAGCTGAAGCTCAATTTTGTCTTTCAATATTTTGGCATGTTTACACTATTGTTTTCTTCTCGAACCGCAGACGGCGCTACACGGCGCCGTTGAGGTAGACTCCAAAGAGGATCGTCTCTAAGCTCGCAGTGTAATAATAAAACAACAAACAATGCGACGCCATTTATTTTGTGAGTGTGTGGGTGTTTCACCTGGAGCTATGCCACTTGTGCAAGCGCTGAGGCAACGTTACTAAAACACTCAGTTGGGAAACTCCCATAGAGACAGCTTTCAAAAAGTGGCCCCAAACTGTCGCCGAGCACCGAGCTAATGACGAACACAATGCCACCATTTCTCCCGCAGCGGCCACTCGAGGAACTGCACGTGACTTCTATTTTGGCTTTAAGAACAGATACAGCGGAAGAGGTTACAGGGGTGCCACCCCCGTCTCCCCGGCGGACGCGCCGCGTTGAGCTAACGAAGTTAAAATGCACCTAGCGCGGGACGTGCTACCTGAAAGGCCCGCTGAGGCATGGTTATATAAAAACAATATTAATTGTGCCGCAAAACCCTGCAAACTACAGATTTTAAAAACATAACGCGCCCCTCTTTTGGTATTAAACTCCAATAAATTTCATACAAAAAGAGTCTTTTTCGTTTGTTTTTACGCAAAAACAGGCTTTCAAAAAGCTCAAGGTGACCACAGTGCAGACAAATGATAAAGAGTGGCGCTGTTGTCGCATTTAGCTCGGTCTCGGTGGACGCCAGCGGCCCAGGTTTCGACGGCGAGTTTCCCAACTGAGTGTTTTAGTAACGTTGCGCTGAGGCTTTCAGAGAGGTTCCGTCGGCGCCGCAGTTTTGCAAAAGTAATTGTAATTGTACCTGAAATTTTGCAATTGCTGATGTTAGAAAGTAATTAAATTACAATGACAATTCCTTTTAGCCAAAAGTAATTAATCACAATTACAAATTACCAAGAAAAGTAATTAAATTACAGTAATTAAATTACTACCCAAGTATGGTTATTGCGAACATTAATATTGCAAAATAAAACCAAAATACATTCTCATAAGCAGAAAAAATAACAGAGCCGTAAAAAAGCTATCTTGAGCACACGTTCTACAATATTTGCTGTTTACGATATAACTAAACATCTAGGAGCTCGGCTGTGTATTTTTATGAAAATAAATAATGTATTACCTATTGATCAACAGAAGAGAGGAAACTAAAGTCAATGTCGTCAAATGAACGTTTTATGAACCTAATTATTTATTTAATCTTGAAAATGACCGTTTTATAGTCTTCGAACAGTATATTCTGTTAGAAACCACATAGGCAGAACAAGTGTAGACTGCATTTAAAACACTAGCAAAAATTGTGAGCCATTCCACTCTGTGAATGTGGTTTGCCATGGCGAAGCTGTAGAGTACCGCAACAAATGATTCACCAAGATACGCACTTCACTAAATGTTTATTGACAGTATATATATACATAATTTTGAAACGGAAGTGATGATTGCTTTGTGATCACTACGATATACGCTAATAGGCTCAATTACAACTTTGTCGAAATTATCTGCTAAAGTTACATCTATACATAAAATGCTTTACATATATAAGAGCTGCTGCTTTTATAT